GTGCTCTGCTAAGCTTGTTCTAAGTAGGTGCTTTAGACCACTGAGCCATCTCACCAGCCCCTGTGATTAATTCTTGATCCAGTGCTGGGATTATGGGTGTGAGTACTACTCCTGCCCTGAGATGGGTAATCTGTATTACAGTATAAAGAGTTGGAAAGAGGCTTGGTAGCAGCAGTCGCCATGGCACCTTCCTTTGCTGTTTGCTGTTTTCTGCCGCTATAACGGCTGCCCTCTGCCATGTGCCGCTCTGCCTTGGCGCCAGCTGAGTATGGACTGAAACCTCCACTAACTGTGAGCTAAATAAACCTTTCTTTCCTTCATTTTGGTTGTTGGGTATTTTGTCCCAGCAATGAGGAAAACATCTAAGACACCTGACAAGAGCAAGGTCCTGAATTTGATACCCAGACCCAGGAGTGGTAGTGCACATCTGTAATCCCAGAATTTGGAGATTGAGACAGGAGGATAGCTGCAAGTTTGAGACCAGCCTGGGAGCTACAAAAGTGAGTACAGCCCTAAGCACATAATGAGGCCCTGCCTCAAAAAAAAATTCAATAAATTAAAATTAAAATGGACTTATGAACAATAGGGAAGTCATAAGTAGGAGAAAAACAAATTGGCTTTTGCACAATTTTATGACAGATATGACTTTTCTCCTATTTGTAGGAGATTAAGATCCAGCATGTAATAAACTTCAAACAGTACTGGATGTTCATTTTTCCAAGAACGTTTAGTTTATGACAGTTGAATGGAATTTGGGTGGTGACCGAGGGAACGTGAAGTTCAGTTGTTGTTAAGTTCAGCTGTCAGGAAAAGAAAAACATCCACATCTGGGTTGACCTTGTCCAGGTTATGATTCAGCAATTCTAGCCTAGGTGATGGTGTGCATAGTCTCATCCATGTTCATAGGCACTAGACTTAATTTTCTTCCACAAATTGGAAGTAAAGAACTGGTCTTTGATAGGTGAATTGTTATTTAAAAAATGTTCTATTTGTTCAGTGAGATGATGCTCAGTAATGACATGAGATACTTCCGATCGGTGCAAGAGCACTGAAGAATCTCACGTGTACTATGAGTAGAGAAGGAAACTAGACCAAATAAAGCACTGAACGTACACTTTACATTGGATAAAGTCCCAGAACATTGTCCTCTATGATACGTTTAATGTAATCAGTAGTTCCCTGATGTAGCTGTAATGTAATGAGACCCTTTAGGTATGATGGAGAACAGAATCAAATATTCTAAGCGAGATAGCATGTTCAAATAAAATCTCATCAAGCTAAGTACTTAAAATGTGATGGCACACACCAATCATTTCAGCACTTGAGAGGCTGATGCAGGAGGATTACCATGAGGCTAGCCTGGGTTTATATAGTCTAAGATCTGCCTGAACTACACAGTAAGAACCTGCCTCAAAAAAACAACGAACATTTTTCTTTATGTTGTGTGCTAAATACTGAAATGAGTCAATTTTTAACAAAGCATCTGACTTTAGATTCTACATGACCCTGTAGAGAACCATATCTTAGAGGCTACCGCTCTTGGTGCATTTAGTCAATCTGTTTTATTTTTTTTGGCAGAACCAAGGATTGAACTCAGGCCCTTATGCTTGCCAGGCATATGCTTATTCTACTGAGCTATCTCCCCAGCCCTCCAATCTGAGTGGTTTAGAAGTTTAATGAAGTGTCTCAGCAGGGGGCAGGGTCTTTGCTCTGTAAACATCCTCATTCTGTGAAAAGGGGGTGCAGGGAGATGGTGTGAGTGCTACACTGGCCTCAGGGGTGCTGACCTGCTTACAAGCTACGGAGGAAAAGAGACTTGTTCTCCTTTTTGCTGTTGTTGCTTTTGTTGTCTTCTGCTACCTTGAACTGCTGCTCCAGTGCCAGGTGACCCTGCCTGGGAGCCAGCAGATTATGGACTGAAACCTTCACAAACTGTGAACCAAATAAACCTTTCCTTCATTAAGAGTTTGTGTTGGGTATTTGGTCGCAGCAAAAGTAACCAAGACAAGGAGGAATAAAGTAACCAAGACAGGAGTTGAGGCTATAGCTCTGAGGCTCAAGAGCCTGCCTGGCAAGTGCAAGGTCCTGAGCATAA